CGCGGTTACGTTCGAACCGATGCGCGGCAACAATCGTGACCGTGCGAAGAATGACAAATCTATTTACCATCGTCAATATTTGCCACCAACTTGCCTCGATTCATTCGACGAAGTAGTCCGGCAATATGGCCGAATATACTCGGCCATCGTTAATTCATCGAAAATTTGCAATTCGAAAATCGAGGTCGCCTTGAAACAATCAACAAAAATCGATAAAAAGTAGTTATCAGCAATCGTCAATATTAGCTTAAAAAATTTTAAACTATAATATTATCAAGGAAAAGTTAAACTCGTTTGCGTCGATCTTTTTCCAGAAATTCGAAACACACCCTTAATTACGAGGGATGTTTCGAGGTACTACTCTAAGCTACTTTGTAGGCACATTGTTGGAGTTGTCACGAACAGGACGAAGCAACCGGAACTCTACCGCAAACTCTGAGAACGCAGCGAAGCAACGAAATTCGTTTCCCAATGTCCGAGTTCAAAATTACGAGTGTTCGTGTTTCACCTACTAAACAACCAACGGAACATTATCTTGCTGATTTATTAGCGTGCCTTATGAGAACCGATTTTTTTTCTGTGCTTCATTGATATCGATGAGTCGGATTTTAAAGGATAGACAACGAGCGATTGCCATGATTCCTTTATTACCATACTCGTCTGACTAATAGCCGATGCACTAGTCGTAACTACTTTTTCCTTTGACAAGTTTCCACAGATCTTTTACCGTGAAATCGTCATATCTTGATTACTTGCTTTCATTTCCAATAAAACATCCCAGCGGCTTAAAACGATACGACTAAGTATGCTAATAGCGGAAATTAAAAATCGATCTTGGAAATATCGTAAATATTTCACTTTCCCTCAGCACGAATAAATCGTCGTTGAAATGAAATTCCTACGAAATGGGCAATGCTATTGTTCTATTTTTTCTTCTCTTCTCTTCTCTTTTTTTCTCTTCTCTTTTCTTATGGAAAAGTTATAAAAGTACAAACTATGAAATACATCGGTGGAGAATTCATGCTCCAATGTCATCACGTGAACAATGTTCTAACAAATAATCAAACTGGCAGGACGACAGTTAGCCATGAGAATCCGGTTTTAACGACGATTCGTCACGGAAACTCGCGGAAACGAGAAGCGGAATCGCTGTCGGTTTAGAGAATATTGGTTCTCAAGTTACATACACATACATATCGCAAACACGCGTAGGTAGATTCGAGGTCTCGCTAGTTCGACGTCTTACGTCTACTTGTCCGTTTAAGTAGACGGTACCGTTGCATATTACCAACATTACAAAGAAAGAAAGAGAGAAAGAGAGAGAGAGAGAGAGAGAGAGAGAGAGAGACCTTCAACCTTCGACCTACGAAAAGCTATCGCGTGTTCTCGAAATCGACACAATCTCGCGTTAGCCTTTCGATCGTGTACCTTAAGCCGAAGGACAGATCTTGTCTCTTCGTCTGTCCAGTTATTTGGTCAGTTTACGAAAATAAAAGAAAAAAAAAAAGAAAAAAAAAAAAATAAAAAATAAAAAACAATTTTATTTATTCGTTAAAAAAAAAAGCAGATATGAAAAATAAAACCTTGAATTGCTGTAACGTAATTGAAATTCTCTAAAGCAAAGACACACCATTTATATCGTATTTATTTGGAGCAAACTTTTGAACGTAGAAACAAAGAAAATAGAATTAATAGTATGAATAGTACAATTTCAACAAATGAATTGTAATAAATAAATTCCCTTGGTCAAATAAATTGTATAGCTAAATGCGATTACCTCGCTTCGAGGTACATCGATCGATTCCTTTTAACGGTTCGCCTAATCTACTTTCCGAAAAAAATGCCCAACGAATTCGGAAATACCGTTCGGCCACGTCGACATCATTCTTTCTTCGAGGCCGAAACGGTCCGAGGCGATATTTCTCAGCGAGCAACGTGCGCTGCGTTCACTTGATGGCCCATAAAAATTGACCGGTAAAAATGGCGATGCAACTGCGTCCTAACCGCGATTAAATACGACGTCCATTAATAGCCGTACTGTCATACGCCTGGCCGTTTTTGGCCGTTTATTTAAAGAGGGGGGTCTTGAAATCCGTGGCAAAGCTACATCTGTGAATAAAATACGGAATCCTATTGTTCTCTGGTCTATGACGTCTGCAAATTCTAGAGCAGGTGAGAGAACAAATCTCAGAGTTAATACGATATCATATTTTTACAGTCAATAAACATTTAGTAAGCTTTATTCAGAGACCCTCAACAAGTATATGAAACTCGCTTTAATGTATTAAAAAAAAAAAAAAATTTGGCTGTTGATTTCAGATAAGTTGAAATCGTAAAGAAATATAAATTAATAAAGAGATAAGGAGTTTCGCATAAATTTTGTCGACGTATTGCTATTTTTATCGTAAAAATGAGAATGGGAGAGAGAGAAGAAAAAGTCGATGATTTAAACCGGCGTCGATCGTACTCGATGTACTTGATATCCGAGCTCGACGCATTCGATGAGAGGCCGACAATTCAAGGCAAGCGATCCGCAATAGCTTCGCAATAGCTCTACGATAGCTCGCACCGGCAATTGCAGCAGTTTTCGTTGGGAATACCCGATTTCGAACCGACGGAAGGGTTGCGCCGTTAGAGAAGAGAATTTCGACAGCTTTGCCGGGTCAAGTGAGATTAAACGAGAATTTGGTCGGTGGAAATGTTGAAATGTTGCTCGCGGTAAAACCTCGACGATTATACGAGCCGACTGCGAGTGAAACAATGCATTTTTCTCCCGTCTTCAGTCTCTCCTGTCTTCTCTATCAGTTTCCCTTATTCACAGTACTTTTTTCGTAAGCTCTATAAACGTTCGGTTAGCTCTCAAGAATGCAACGACGAAGAAGTAAACAAAGCTTTTGAATAAATGCTTGTCACGAAGATGCTATCTTTTCACGTCGACGATAAAAAACAATAGAAAAAGAAAGGAAAAAAAGCGCCGGTAAACAATGCTCTCGGTAACTCGAGTTTCTCCCCTTCGTTATGATTTAATCGAGCATTCCTTTTTTTTTTCTTTTTTTTTTTTTGTTTTTTTCCTACGTCTTATCACTCATCCGTTGTTTCGAGACGAATACCAAATGAACCTAATAAAATTTCTCTGCATTTCTTCAAAAACGTTCATTTCTCTTTCGTCTAAAACAATCGTTTGCTCCCTGTTTTTAAGAAAAGATCTTCCACGGTAAAGTTTAAGATTTATTATAGATTCGTATACTTCTCTATCTGGAATTATGTTATCAACTATTTATAACAATCTCGAAGAAAGCAATTTTCCCGTCACTCTTCTCGTCCTATTTTAACAATGAACGACGTTTCTTCCTCTTTCCTTATTCTTTTTCTTAATATTTCTGATTACGTGTGCCGGGTAAAAAGCAGATGGGATGGAGTATCGAAGGGAGGAGTACGCGTCGGGGTATAAATCCGTGTAGAGTCGGTGAAACAGGCAGAAACAATAACGGGGTGAGGGTCAGATTCAATTACAAGGAATCGTGAAAGTTCCACCTCTTTCTCTAGACTCGCCTCAGAAGCCAGTGTGCTCCTCTTCTCCGTCTACTTCTTTTCTTTTCCACCGTCAGGCCCCTTAACCTAATTTCGCGCTTTTGCCGGCCAACCGGTCGAATGGCTGTCGAACGAAGACTAATGTTCGTCTAACCGCTCATTTCTTACCGTAGTTCTACTCATTTTTGCCGCCTGAATTTTCTCAAGGTTTAGACTTGCCTTTCTTCTCTTTTTCTACCTTTTTCTTCCTTTCTTTTCTTATTTTTCCCTTAAATCCAAGTCTAAAGTTAGAAAATTTACTTCCACGTGTTACATCACACAGCAGTAAATCCCAGCAAAAGGTCAAATGAGTTTGTTTTTTCAAAGAATCGAAAATCATTTTCGTAAACGATCGTATAAAGATAGAATAAATGTGAAGAAAAACAAATCCTTGAGTTACCATTGAATATCACAATCAATGTCCCTATTGATCGAAGTGAATATTAAAGAGCATCGAATACGGCTACTTCAGGAATCGGCTTATATCGTTTGCGTTGCAGGTGCTGTGCTCGCATTCGCATCGATAAGTCATAGACTTACGCGCCTCAGCTGTTTTTATCGAAGCGTCGAAAGCAACGACTACTCGTAAATAACGATACATGGAGGGATGGGGAAGAGGAGAAAGGAAGGAAAATAAAACATGAGAAAAAAACTATCGATCATTTTGAAATTATTATATATCTCGACTAACTGTAAACACGCATTTATATGTTTTATCCTATATATATATATATATATATATATATATATATATATATATATATATACATATATATATATTTTTTTTTTTATCCTTAAAACAGTAATGATCGAAAAATAGATCCAATAAATCAAGTTTTACCAATGACATTGATTGATTCGTCAAAGTGCAAACGAGATAAGAAGCATTCACTATGTAAGCTAATGTTGCTTCAGAGGTTGATCATTTTGCTTTCTACGTCCATTAACCTCTTAATAAACACATCACACGCATGCGTTTACGCAAAATCACGATACCAAGACACTCCCACTTTATTCGCATAACTCGACTCGCATAATCACGAAATCATCTCAAGCATTAAAGTAAAATATTCTCAAAGAGAATAAGATATATCAAACTTTTTAGACGTAAACGAATACAGAGTGCACGCTAGTCCTTCACCCACTTCCAATCGTAAACGAGGAACCCAACCTATGCGACGGCGTTGCAACCTGCATCCAGCATGGAAGGAGGCCATGTGGACTGTCAATCTGACCGAGGAAAGGATAGAATATAAAAATGAGCACACGAGGAGGGGATAAAGCATTATATTTCACCCCACATGGTTCTCTACTTTGTTATTTTCTCTGACCTCGAGCAAGATTATCTAATCTTTTGAATAACCGAGCGCATAAGGGTGAGAATAGGAAGAAATAAGAAAGAATCGAGCAATAGAGTAAGTTATGCTTACCAAGGAGCACGTTAAATCCGGATCTTGAGTTTTCTTCTCGTTCTTCTCTTTCTTTCTTTCTTTCTTTCTTTCTCTCTCTTTCTCTCTCTCTCTCTCTCTCTCTCTCTCTCTCTCTCTCTCTCTTTCTCTATTCGGGGTGTGGTTCCTTCGCGTGCGGGCGGAGCCCCACGGGATTAAGGACTTTGGACTTGGCCGGATTCGGGAAGCTCGCTTTCGTCTATATGCGTGTAAGTCTTTGAATACGTACGTATACCTATGCGTGTTTAGTTATGTCCGTCTATCTTCCATTCTTTCTCTCTATTTCCCCTTCTTCGTAACAAGCAGCAAAGTGTATCGCAGAATAAAAAAGTAAAGCTGATAAAAAAAAAATGATAAGTAAAAAAGAGATGGTAAAGAGAGAGAGAGAGAGAGAAAGAGAGAGAGAGAGAGAGAGAGAGAGAGAGAGGACGAAAGCGAACTCGGTATATGTGTCTGTAGGTATACGCGTGTATTCGAGTATGTGTGCATATACGTATAATGCGTCAGCACGGATAAAGTTTGCTTTGGTATACGTTGGCTTAGGATAGCAACATTAGCAAGGATTTAGGTTTCGGAAGAAATGGATCAGGACGAGGGGGAGCGGTCTAGACGAGGTCCTGCCTTCGCTAGGACATTGTTACTCCTGCTGATCCGTTTTGAAGAGACTTGGCCGGTGTCAGCTCGGTCCAACCGCGATGGCCACCCTCGCCTATCTTCACCGATGTCACTTCAACTTCTTCAGATCCGCAAATGTCCTGGAGTATCCTTTGATAAACACCCCGACGATTAGTCTGTTCAATCAAACGACTCACTGCTACGCGACATCTTCCATCAGCTAGTCACGACGTTGGCATGCTCGTCGAGAAAATAGAGAAAAAGTTTACACACAGAGAGCAGTGCTGGGCTCTCGTCGAAGCAAAGTGTCACGCACGACGCGAACGGAGTTCGATCCAAAGCGCGATGCGGAAATTCCGTGGGAGTATCGAAGCGACCTTCGAAAGGCACAACCTTCAAGATCGATTGAGCCCTCGACACAGCAACCGTTTTGACTTATTCAAAAATGTCTATTTTGGAAATATCTTCGCCGAGCAATAAACTCTTTGACACTTCTCTTTCCTTTTTTCGATCCCATTAAGACGACTCTAAGGGAATTACATACGCATGTATAGTTTTTGGATCATCTGTGTCTCTACGAGGTATATAGAGATCACCAACGACTTGATCGCACAAAACAAATGATCACAAGCTGTGTCACTACTGAAGGAGGGAAAGAAAGAGAGAAGGAGAGAGAGAGAGAGCGAGAGAGAGAGAGAGAGAGAAAGAGAGAGAAGAGAGAGAGAGAGAGAGAGAGAGAGAGAGAGAGAGAGAGAGAGAGAGGGAAAAGGAGAAACGAAAAATCGAAGAGCACAGAACGCTTCTTACACTCGCGTAAAGCTTCAATCGAAAACACCAATCCGTGAATATCCTATGAGCGAAATGTCCTTTTCGACGAAGAACCAAGACGTGGCTCGAAGAGAAGCCGAAGAACAGAAGCGCGTAACACGCGACGAGGAAAGATGTCGAGCTGCCGCTTGCCTGGCGGTGGTGCGCGCCGCCATGACAGACTCTTGCCTCCTATCAACCCCACTCTCGCCAAACAACCCCTACTATTCTATCTCTATCGCCCTACTACCTCCCCTAACCTTCTCCCTCTCTCTTTCTCTCACGTAGTGTCCCTTGTCTATGTTCTCCTTCCAATCCCCCGTTTTCCACCACCGAGCTACCTTGCCTTGGCCCCACCAACGCAATATTGATCGGGCGGAAGGGCGGCATCCAAGAACGTAACGATGGTTTCACGGGCCCCGGACGATTTTACAAGTCACTCTCTATTCTTTCCTTTTTCTTCTTTTATTTCTACTTCTCTCTTGTGTCCTCGGCTATCTTTCTTTGTAACCCCTCAGTCCACTTTGTCCTTTTTTCGTTTCTTCCTCTACAACTTTTTCATTTTTCTTCTTCTACTTCTTCTTCTTCTTCTTCTTCTTCTTCTTCTTCTTTTTTAACTTCTTTTCTCTTTGTCTTCACCCCGAAGTATCTCCCTTTTTCCAACGAAGTTTCCTCGATATCCACGCCTTTCTCCCCTCGATACTTCTACCCTCAGAGGAGAGCACCGATCGACGATGTTCGAGGACAACGCACGTGGAGCGTGGACTCGAGAACGAATATTGCAACTTCGTTTCTCTTCTACGTTGATATCTAACAGTCGAAGCTTTACGGTTCTTTTGAATGTAGATGTTTATGAGGGTGAACGATAAAAGAAATTTATCTTCTTGATTGAATTTATATCATGATCGAACGTGAAAATTAAAATGATCAGATAAATATAAGAAGATCAATTAATAAGTTGGTATTCTCAATAAATGGTTTTAATCGTTAAAGAAGAAACGAGAGAGAAATAGAGAGAAAAAGAGGAAGGGGGAGAGAGAGGGGGGCAGAGGGGAAGGGAGAGGGATAGAAAAAGAGAGAGTAAGCGAAACATAAGATAAATTGATAATAATGGGAGAAGCTACAGCGTCAGCTCAGGTAGCTTTTGACACCTGATCCCCTTTCTTGCCAGACGGCAGCCTCGCCGTTAATCAAGCGCCGTTTCACCCCGTGTATCCACGACCCACAAAAGCCGAGCTTTGGCTCGTGCTGTGATGAAATGAATCCTTTGCAACCCCTAAATAATGCTGAACGCATTGACCAAACCCAACTGTCCTACACTATGTCGTAAGAAATGTAACGCCCACAAATGTACGTGTATATTCGTATTGTGAATTTGTACGGCGAAAAGTGTTCATATTTTTGTATCATTTCTTTTTGTTTTCTCATCATCAATTTTTATCTTTCAATAAGTACTTTTATAATACGTTACTTTAATACTTAAATCTATGAAAAGTCGATGATTTCATTTAAGCTGGTTAATTAATAAATTGAAATTAAACACAACGCTGCTAAAATGAACAAAGCTATTGTCTACCTCGTCGAACCAACCGATATAAATTTTTTCATGAAAATTTTTCTTTGTCAGATATTTTTCATCGATACGTGACTCAACGTCAAGAATTATAGAGTTTATTATTTAACGGATTACCGATGTAACGCACGAGAGACTCGACAGATTGCAAAAAGCATTTAACACGATGGCAATACAGTAAAGTGCCCCTTCAATGCGAAGCAGAATAAAAACATCGGTGTTGAGCGTGACGCTCTTTCGTTCGATTATACTTAACGTTAATTAAAATTATATTCCTCCGGTTGAGTATCGTCGTTGGTATACGAACAATTCGAATGAGTAAGTATCGAGTTACCTTGCGTATCGTGCAATTTTATCGTCTGTTGATCGAAATTCAATCGAAATCCAATCGAAATCCGATCGAAACTTGCTTGCGACTACATACACTTTGTTGAAAATTTAACGAAATAAAGATTAAAACTTACCATCGAGCGTGGACTAGTAGCGATACGCCTCTTCAGTGTCTGAAAAAGAAAGAAAGAAAAAAAAAGAAGAAATAAACCTGTTAGTTTTAAGGATCGTTATATAGGAGGTACACGTAAGAGAACTTTTGCAATTTACAGCTCGGAAAATCTTCGTTCGAGGCGATCGTGCGACCGAAGGGAGAGTGATACTCTCGAGGGTGATGGAAGCAGCATGGAACAAAGGGAAGAGAAAAAGAAAGAGCGATGTAACACGCAGGATGTGAATGAGAAAAGAGAAAGGAAAAAGTGAAAGAATAGGAGAGACACGAATATAGGAAAGTCCTTTCGCGAGAAATTCCTTTGTCTCTTTCTCTCTCGAGAATTCGACGATCCTCCGCGAGATATGATCGAAAAAGGTCGACCGTTTTCCACGTTCGTTTCTTCTCGGCAATGTGAAGAACGAATGAAAATCGAATTTTCGATATCATTTATCAGCAACGAACTTCGACGTGCGTTCGAAGACGTGCGTTCGATCTATCTGTATGAGACTACTACTACACATATCGACGGATGAAAAATTTCGATTAGTCGAAGTACTTTCGTACGTAAGTACTTTCGCAAATATTCAACAAAAATTTGTTCAGAATATGAGAGCTACGAGAAATGAGCCCTTCCAAAGAACTTGGAGAGTTTGCAGTCGTTAAAGGGGCTTCGTCGTTTCAAGTTTCCGCGATGTTTCGTTGTGGAAATATTTGCCTCTAAAGATAGATAGTAATATAATCGCCTTTGGTGATAGTTACCCGATCGCTTGTTTCGCCCTTCGTTTCACGAAAGAACTATCAAGAGCGGTAGCACGCTTCGTCGATCTATTCTCGAAAGCTTGTCTCGAACACCTGCTGCCACTGTTTTTCCCAGATATTCGAGATTTCGAAGCTTTCCACTTTTTCCAGTTCACGCTGCTTTCTTGGCAAATTGATACGCTTATCAATTTCATTCTCGAGAAATTACGATCTAAAGGAATACAAAATGAATTCAATTTTTTCGTTGTTATGATCGAAAGGGAACGCTTAATAAAATAAATTGTCAATATAATATTCCGTATGATCTCCAATAAAATGATTTCATCGAACGAAAGCTCGTAAAAATTCAAAACCAATGACTTGGCGAATCAACGAATAAGCTAACATTTCATAGAAAGCTTTCGGCAAATGGCGGGCCCGATTTCTCGACGTACACGCCTGGAGGTCGAGGTCGAGGCCTCGAAAGAAATCGTACATCCGTTCCATCGGCATTCCAGCGTAACCGCGAGCGTTAATGGCGTTTCTTACGATCTCGCATAGAAAAGGAGGTAGTTTTAGGGGTGGGTAACACGGTCGATATACTTGTCACGGCTGAGTCGTTAGGCGAAAAGTAGAGAAAGATTTGGGCAGCATCAGACTACGATAAAAAAGAAAATCTACAGGGAAATAGATATATTGAAAATATATGATAAAAGTTATAGACAATTTTTTTCGTATGCATATCATGTGAATATCACGAATTAGGCTATAATGTGAACATGATGAAATTGAAATATTTTTGTTTCATTACGCTAGAATTAATAATGTCTTCATTAACATTTTGAAAGGATCTGAATATACCTGACCATCTGTTTCATGAATATAATTTAAACATGAATTTTCATTGTTCCGTTGTCGAAGTTAATTAAATCGTAATAAATGATTTTCGAAATGAACGTTTATATTATGAGTACGACTTTGCGAGTACAACGTTCAAGTTTGTAATATAAACGAGACAGTTTGCACGCTAAAGGACTTGCCAAGAAGAACCGGCATGAGTATACCTATGAGCTATGTTGTTGTAGAAACTTCAGACTCGGTAGCGCATCTAATGTTCTTAGTCACGCCGCTTTTTCCATATCCTTACGTTTATGTATATTTTTGAATCTATGTACATATACGTACTTTTAACCCATGTAATTTAAATTTCTTAACATCATTCTCTGCAAACCACTTGCATATCTATATGTAGCAAAAGAGAGAGAGAGAGAGAGAAAGAAAGAGAGAGAGAGAGAGAGAGATCAATAAAGTGGATTTGAATAAATCCAATCGAATATTCTTTTTTAAATTCCACATCATGTCAACTTCTTTCTCGATATAATCATATTCTCCTTGCTTCTCGCATAATTTTAATATTAAATTTTTGACATTTTTCCTACATATACGAAAGATGCCACGCACACACAGCAAGACAATATTACGAGGCTGACGAAAAGTGGAAAAAAGTAGTACATAGCCGGTACTGAGAATTTTCCTAGGATTCTTTAACGCTCGGAACGTTCGATTTTCTTCCTGTCTATGCCGACGTTGCAGGCTGACGCTCAACGTCAGTCGATTTGAGTAGCAACCTTTTTCCAGAAGCGAGGACACAATTTTTCCGACGATTTTTCCGACCGATTTCCTCCACCCACCGTTTCTCGCCAAAAGATATCGTTGAACTCGCGAGAATTCAACTCGTCTCCTTGTCGATTGCTCGAGGAGAGAGAGAGAGAGAGAGAGAGAGAGAGAGAGAGGTACAAACCCGTGACTACTACATCTCCCCTCCTTTTACTTCTTTTCTCTGAAAGAAAAAGAAAAAGTAAAAGTAACTTTTATACTCTTCGATTCACGGACTTTCCAAAGTGCTCGATCTAGCGCAAATAAGAGGAACATTATTTAACAAAGAGTTATTCGTTATCGTAGAACAACGAATACGATGATTGAATTGTTTCCTTTTTTTATCTTCACAAAAAAAAAAAAAAAAAAAAAAAAAAACAAAATCACAAAGTTACGTA